TAGATCAGCTCAAGATCTTACCAATTTTCAAAGCTATTTTAGCTTCTAGTGATCCAATTTGATAAATATTTGATTTTATTGAAGCTCTCTTAAAGCTGTATCTTGTTGTCTTAAATTATTAATTCTATAACATTTAGATCACATAATTGCTTCATTCCTTTTTTAAGAATTTGCAGTTTAAATAATTGATTTTGAATACTTATAAGTAACTCTATTTTCTTACATATTAAATTACAATTTTCTCACTTCCATTAGATTTCCAGTTGCTGAAATTAGTATTTTGTATCATTATTTTTCGGACAGTTCTTTTTGCTTCAATTTCGGTATTTACATCTGCTTGAAATTCTTTAATGATGAACCTCAAAATAATTGCTTTCAATTATTCTCAAATATCTCTGGATTTGATGATTGGATTTGGACGTTTTTAAGCTTATTTGAAAGACCGGTACCTACTGAATCGGCATATCAAATTTAATATGTTTTTGTCTTGTATGTGTCGAGATATTCGCGTTCAAATTTTGTTACAGTATATCGAAACTTTGAAAATTTGTTTTTTTTTATTTTTTTTATTTATTTTTATATCCCCTTTTGGTCTTTTATTTTTTTTATAGTTTTTTTTTCTTTCCCCCTCCGGCCTTTTTTTTTATCTTAGTTCTCTAGCTTTTTTTTAATATATTTTTATTTTTTTATACCCACCCCGGTCTTTATTTTTTTTTTAATTTTTTTTATTTACCACCTAGAGATCCAAATCGTTCAATCCGTAGTCAAATCATCCAGATTTGACCAACTGATTACAATGATCGATTAGACGAAAATATTGACGGTTAGTTAGTCATTTAATCGATTATCACTAACTATGAATGAATACCGGATAATCAGATATTCAAATATTTTAGATCTATCGTTTAATAAGCATGCAACATCTAAATTAATTAAATAAAAATGAGACATTTCATTTCATGTTTTTTTGTTCAAATTTTTTTTACAAAATGAGTTTGATGCAAATTACAATGATGATGTTTCTTAGTAAAGAAGTAATTCTGAAAGTTTCATTTGACGATAGAGAATGTAACCGGTTAAAGCGGTTAACGTGTTGGCCGGTTAATGATTTTTTTTAACTGGTTAAATAGATGAATTTAGCTCTGGCCGAAATTCAATTTCCGGCAAGAATTAAGATTTTTATGATTGCAAAATATTTTCAACTCCAGCCAAAATTATTAGTACTGCGTAAGTTAATTTTAACCAGTTAACGAATATTTTTAACTGGTTTTTAACTGGTTAAAGAATTTTGGCCTCTATTTGACGAAAAAGATTAATATGTTTCCTCCAGAAGAAATATGATTAGCAAAAAATAATGGAATAATTAGTACAATATAATCTGTTATTATTGTTGATAATAAAGATAAGTTCAATATATATATTTTTTTGTTTTAATTAATGTATTAACATTTTAGTTGTTTCAACTAATTGATTATTCAGATGATCTGGATAAATTGAATAATCGTCATTAATCAACAATTAATTTAAATAATAATCGATTATAAATTTTATGAAAGATTGATTAATCAAATACAAAATTTTTGACCGATTTGGACCTCTATTACCACCCGTTCTTTATTTTTTAGATTTTTTTTAATTTCGTTATATAATTATTTTTTTTTTTTTAAATTTTTTTTATTATTTTCCATCTTTATTTTTTTTATATTTTTATATATTTTTTTAAATTATTTCTTTTTTTTTATTTCTCCCTCCGGTATTTTTATTTATTTTATATAATTTTTTTAATACTTTCACCCACACTCTTTTTTAATTTATTTCTTTTTTAATATATTTTAATTTATTTTTAATTTTTTAATTTCATTCGTTATTCTTTTCATTTTTTTAATATTTTATTTTTTTTTATTTTTGGCTTTTTTCTTTTTATCGTTTGTTTTCATTTTTTTTAATTTTATTTTTTGAAACATTTTTATATTAATATTTTTTTTGTTTTCCCCCACCCCGTGTTTTTTTTTTTTTTTTTTTTTTAATTTTTTTTCTTTTTTCTATCGTTTCGTTTTCTTTTTTTAATGTTTTTTTTATTTTTTTTTATAATTTCATTTATTTTTTTCTTTATAATTTTGTTTATTTTTTTTCTTAATTTTTCGTTTTAGTTTTTTTTTTATATTATTCTTTCATTTCGTTGATTTATTTATTTTTTATTTTTATAAATCTTTTTTCTTTTTTATTTACCTTTCTTTTTTTACTTTTATTTATTTTCATTTTCATTCGTTTGTTTTTTCTTTTATTTTGTTTATTTTTTTCTTTTAAATTATTTAATTATTTCGTTCGTTAGTTTTTTTTCTTTTGTTTAGTATTTTCATTTATTTTTCTTTTTTTCATTTAGTTTGTTTTATATTCGTTTTTATTTCTTTATTTTTTTCTTTTTAATTTTTTTTTTCTTATTATTTTTACTATTTTTTTTTGTTTTCGTCCTCATTTCATTTTTTTTAAAAAAATGAAAATAAAAAGAAAGAATAAAATAAAATAAAAAATATAGCCGAATCTCGGCAATATGTTTATTTTATATATCGCGTCGCGATTTTTGTTTATTGATTTCTAAATTAAGCAATCGGCAGTTGCACGACCCATCTGAAAAGGCGGCGGGACTTTTTTGTTAGTGAGTCCATTGGCGTAATATATTATAGAGGACTAGCAATTCTACCCAGGCGATGCCCTGAGGTCGCTTTACGACAAACAAATAGTAAAGTTTTAAAGATAATTTAGGTTTAGTTTGGTTGAATTAGAGTTAAAATTGGATTAAAATCACTCTAAAGTAGTTAGTTTCAAGGATGTAATTGGATTGAATTGGGTTAGATTGTAGTTAAATTGGTATTTAGATTATGATCTGGTTATGGTTTGGTTATAATTGAAATTTTATATTTTGATTCTATATGTAACTTCATATTTTTACATAATAATAGACAATTTTTTCATCTCCCTCCTTTAAGTAATTAAACCTTAGCATCACCAGAAAATTAATTTCAAAATTTGCTTATAAATACTTTCTCTAAAATTGACTTTAGATCAGCTTAAGATCTCATCAACTTTCAAAGCTATTTTAGCTTCCTGTGATCCAATTTGATGAATATTTGATTGTTTTGAAGCTCTCTTAGGGTTGTATCTAGTTGTCTTAAATTGGCATTTCTATAACCTTTAGATCACATGATTGTTTAATTTCAAGGATTTCAAGAATTTGCAGTTTAAATAATTGATTATGAACACTCATGGATAACCATTTTCTTACATATTAACATACAAATTTCTCACCTTCTTTAGATTCCCATATGCTGAAATTAGTATTTAGTATCATTACTTTTCGGATAGCTCCTTTTGCTTCAGTTTCGGTATTCTAACTTGCTTGAATTTCTTTCGTGATGAACCTCAAAATAATTGCTTTCAGTTTTATTCAAATATCTCTGGATTGAGTGAATGGATCGTGATAAGAATCGATATTAACTCTCAACTACAACTATCATGCCAGAAATTAGAGCAAATAATAATATCAAAAATACTTCTTACATTCTCAAAAATAATAAAACCTTAACAAAAAAATGCTAGCAAGCAATTTACTAGCACTCTTATAGATATGAATGAACAAACTTTATTAGAAACTCCTTTTACAAACAACAAAAAACAAAAAATAATAACAGAAAATATGGAATCTTCTTCTCCAAAAATTATCAACAAAGTTATTGAAAATATTTTCCTTACTACTAATAACAACAACCAAACACTTCCTAACACTAATAAAGAAGATACTACTAAATTGTTAACATGAAAATAGATAACATTGTTTTCTCAACTTTAACTCTACTAAAAACGTATATAATGTTCTTTTTCAAACTGCAAAAGACTCTATACATGCAAAATTGCAAAATAAACAAATAATATAATGAATCAAAATCATCAAATACATTTTCTATTTTTAAAGGTAAAATAAATAAACTTGATCAGAAGAAATGGACAAAACTGAAGCATCTACCTTTAATAACAAGAATGTAAAGATCAGCAATTCAACATAATTATTATGCTTACCAGATTTTACGCTATTGATAATATGGTAAATATAAAAGAAAAATCAATAGCAGAAAAATGAAATTTTATCAGTGCACTTTTCATTCACTTCTAAGAATCTAACTATCTTTCCAAAAATAGAAAATTCATCATTTATTTTGACAGTTTAGAAAGCCTTACACATGCTGTATTAAAAGTGCAGGAAACATAATATAACCCGATCTTTTTGATTGCTGATTCTAATACCAAATAACTAAAATTAGATGCAGATAAAGGTCATACCATCAAAGTATCAGATATCACCCTTTTTTAAATCTAAAGTTATATGAATTTTTTTTGCTAAATTTGGAATAATTACCCGTTTTTTTTAATCATCAGAAGATCCTTATAAATCGCATTCATTGTGTACAAAAGCAATGATGCTATCAAATAATTTTATAATAATACTTAGTCCATTTCCTTTTTAGAATTCACTTTAAGAGTAGAACCTACTGACCTTAATCTACTGCAAACTATATTACAACAACAATTTGAACTTAAACTAATTGGCCTACCATTAATACTGATTAACGTTCCTTATAAGATTTTTTAACCTAAATTAAAGCTAATTCATGCTTTATTCCAAAAGATCAATAATATTGATTAAGGAATTAAGCATTCGTTAATTTTGCCATAGAAGACTTAGTCACCACAGCTGCTCAACACTACAGATTCAAAGACAATGTTTTATACTGGATAGATCTTGCTAATAAATATTGTAAGAAATGTGGATCACCTGACCACAAAATCAAAGATTGCTCTAAAAGAGGCCCCACTAATCCTTATAAGCCTTTTTATGATCGTTTTAAATCTGAGCAATATAGACCTTCTCATTCTCATTCTAACTCAAATTTTAAAATAATCTCTCATATTCTAATACTATCAAATCTAAACTAAATAATAATAACATGTTAACATTTCCTAAAGGAAATAATAACAGAAGTTCTAGTATTATTTTTAACATAGTTAATGCTATTCACTCTTTAATAGCTAGAATTGATGACATTGACAATAAACTTGTACTTCTTTCTAATAAGATCATTTCTATTAAAAATAAAATTCTCTAACAGCATCGTAATCAAAAAGACATTAATTTTCATCTTTCTAGACTTAAGTTCTTCACTAAGATTTCTGATGAAGATGAAGAAAAGCCAATAATGAACATCATTAATGAACTAACTCAACATATACCAAAGAACATACTTATGAATGATAATTACCCCTGTAGCAAATTCTCCTAAAATAGTTAAAAATACACTAATTTAGTTAATACTGAAACATAACAAAATGATGAAATTGCTACTTCTCATATTACACAGGTTGAAAGAAAACTTAGAAGTCTAGATTTGAGCTTAAATTTATCTCATTAGCATTATGCTAAGCCTTACCTATAATTAACCCTTTCTAATGATTAATAATAATAAAATGTATAACATCATAGAAATGACTTCTTTGTATCTTACTAATAATAGTAATTTTAATACAAATGCCTCTCTTTCTTTATTATATAATAATCCAAATTTTGATCCATTATTACCCACAATATTAGAAACTGTTTTACTGATAACAAATTACAATAAATAGAAACTTTTTTTACAAATTTAAATTTAACATAATAGAACTTAGTGAAACTCATCTTACATATAATCAAGCTTATTTTCTCAATAATAACAATCATAACAAACAATACAAATTTTCTTTCATAACTCAAACAGAAATTTTAACTGTCAAAAAGTAGGATTAATTATTAAAAATGATCTTTACAAACATATTTTTAACTAATAATCCTTTTATGATAAAATACTATATGTAGACCTTCAATTCAAAAAGAAATTCAAACTTCATATTATTCAAGTGTACTTATCAGCTATATATAAAGATAAAAAATCCTTTAATTATAGAATATAAATTCAAAAAAAAGCTTATAGACATCTTAATACAAAGCTGTAGAAATAATTTTCACATTATCTTAATAGGAGATTTCAACATTGATATTTCAAAAAATTATCATTCTAAATATCAAAGAGTCTTACAAAACTATCTTTATCAAATTATTGATCTAAGTTTTATTCACACTATCACTCCTTTTTTATCATCTTACTCAACCATTTTTAAATCCACTTTAAATTCATATTACTTATACTTAGATTATATATTTCTCTTCTCTAACCTTACACATAACCTATCCTCTTTCAATATTCTTAATAATTCATCATTTTATACTCTTCTGATCATTTACCACTTTTTATCACTATTTTCAAAAACAACTTCTTTAACCAATGTTATAATGCTTCTCTTAAATAACACAAAGTCTCAAAGCAGACGTTTATGTACCATAAGACTACATTTTTACATTGGAATCTTTTCTCAAATAAGGCTAATTTACTTCTAAAATCAAACCTACTTTATGCAGACTATACTATTAAAAAAATTGCTATCTCTTTAAACTTATTAAATGTTATCTGAGAATTTTTCTCTCATACTGTTATTACTTCTGCAAAAAAATATCTTTTTAAACAAACAACCACTCATTAACTCAATTCCTTATATACCTATTCTAATTCCTCTATTCACAGACATATTAAGTCACTTTATAAATATTATTACAAATTAAAGAAATCCCTTGATATTAATCTTAACAATAACCCTTAAATTTTTCTGCTTACAAGTGATGAACATTAAAATCTAATAAAAATATCTAGACAATATTTAATATTAACTGCTTTCAATGATAACCATTTTAATAATAATGTTGTATTTTTGTATATAAATAAATTAAAATATGATATTATTAAACCTATTCAAGCAAAATAACAAATTATTTTCAGGCAAGAAAATAGTAACCATATATTACAATTCCTCAAATAAAGAAATGATAACATAAAAGATGCTTCAACAAAGCTCTGAACAGTTCAGATTAATCTGAAAATTTCAGTTTAGATCAACTTTGGTTTAGTTTCAAATTGCAAAAATTCAATCTGAAAATTTTCAGTTCAATTCAGTTTAAATTAGATTTATAATCTGAAAAAAAATCTGAACTAAACTGAAAATTTCAGATTAATCAGAAATTTTAGATCGTTTAAAACAATTTTCTAATTGAATGATTCTTTTATCATTTGTTTGAAATGATAATTTCATCATTCTAATTGAAAGATCCTTTTATTGTTCTTTTGAAATGATAATTTAATCATTTTAATCAAACGATTTTCTTATTATTCATTTAAAATGATAACTTTAATTATTCTAAATAAATGATTCTTTTATCATTCTTTTGGAATAATAATTTAATCATTCTAATCAAATGATCTTTTATTATTCTTTTGAAATAATAATTTAATTGTTCTAATCGAATGATTCTTTTATCGTTCTTTTAAAATGATAATTTAATTGTTCTAATCAAATGATTTTTTTATTATTCTTTTAGAATAATAATTTAATTGTTTTAATCAAATAATCATTTTATCATTTTTTTAGAATGATAATTTAATTATTACAATTGAATGATTTTCTTATTATTTGTTTAGAATAATAACTTCAATCATTTTAATCAAATGATTTTCATTATGTTTAAAAGTAAAATTTGTTTCAAATTCTTCATTATCTTCAAATAAATCGCTTCCATTTGCCATTGCTGATGCAATTTGAT